GTTAAGTCAAAACGCTGTAAGTCCAAACCGCTTTTCCCATAGGAATCAATGGTATGAAGGGGGGATTGGTTCCTGAACCAAGGCTTGATACGGTATTTTCATCACAATAACCCAGATTTTTGTACTAAATGAATTATAGCTGACTAATGCTGCAGCATCAATGTATTTACTGTACACTGTATTTTGTAAACAGCATTCAAATAAACATATAAACTCACATATGCTGCTCAGAATGCCGGCAACACAGGCTAAGAAAGCTGGGGAGAATGGCACACATGCTGAGCCTCAGCCACTCACTTTGCAAACTTTCTGGGGCTGAGAGCCAATAAAAAACGAGCAGCAACCCTACCTGGCAACAAGCTATCCTGCTGCCTCGAAGCCAATCAGAAGTGACCCCTTCCAGCTCCATACCAATATAACGCAACCAGGAAGTGATTTCAAGTGAACTTTATGCAAATCGAGCATCATAAGTGTGAAACAAGCATCATAACTGCCTAGGGAGGTTGAGGAATCTCCATCTCTGGAGATATTTAAGAGTAGGTTAGATAAATGTCTATCAGGGATGGTCTAGACACTATTTGGTCCTGCCATGAGGGCAGGGGACTGGACTCAATGACCTCTCGAGGTCCCTTCCAGTCCTAGAGTCTATGAATCTATAAGGGATGAAATGGGCAGTCAATTAAAAAGCGTCATAAGTGGCATCCAACGTAAGTCAGGCGTCATAAGTCCGAGGACTCCTTTTAATTAAAACATACTATGTGGAATGATGCAGAGTTTTAATTACACTCCAAAGTCCCAATGAAATAAAAACTTTAAATTCTTGCATGCAAAGTACTCCACTTAGGAAGGAACAATCAGTTGCACACATACAAAATGGGAAATGACTGCCTAGGAAGGAGTATTGCGGAAAGGGATCTGGTGTCATAGTGTATTGCAAGCTAAATATGAGTCAACAACTGTTGCAAAAAAAGCAAACATCATTCTGGGATGTATTAGCAGGAGTGTTGTAAGCAAGACACAAGAAGTAATTCTTCCACTCGACTCCACGCTGATTAGGCCTCAACTGGAGTATTGTGTCCCGTTCTGGGCGCCACATTTCAGGAAAAATGTGGGGAAATTGGAGAAGGTCCAGAGAAGAGCAACAAAAATTATTAAAGGTCTAGAAAACATGATCGATGAGGGAAGATTGTAAAAATTTGGTTTGTTTAGTCTGGAAAAGAGAAGCCTGAGAAGGGACATGATAACAGTTTTCAAGTACATAAAAGGTTGTTACAAGGAGGAGAGAGGTAAATTGTTCTCGTTAATGCCTGAGGATAGGACAAGAAGCAATGGGCTTAAATTACAGCTAGGGCAGTTTAGGTTGGACATTAGGAAAAACTTCCTGTCAGGGTGGCTAAGCACTCGAATAATTGCCTAGGGAAGTTGTGGAATCGCCATCATTGGAGATTATTAAGAGCAGGTTAGACAAACACCTGTCAGGGATATTCTAGATATACTTAGTCCTGCCATGAGTGCAGGGGACTGGAGTAGATGACTTCACGAGGTCCCTTCCAGTCCTACAATTCTATGATTTTATGATTATAGGAAACCAAAATCATTTCCTTTGCACTAAACATCCTTCAATAACATGAACAGGTATATAGCTGACAACTTAATTTTACAATATTGCAAATCTGCCATTCCATGTACATTTTCAACTCTTACTGAAACCCCTGGTGAACACAGGATTTGCATGTTACCAGCAACTTGCACCGAAAATGAATGACTCAGAGATAACAGGTAGTATCACCTTGATTCACTAAGTTGCACTTTCTTCTCTGGACAAGAAGGTCATGTGTCCAAGTCCTAGAAAAGGGTTTGTTCTTGTATATAATGCTAACAGTGCAGTGTTAGAAGGGGTGCTGTACTTCAGAGTCACCCATTCCTCAGATGAGATCTTTCCCTCTCCGGTCCTACTGCACATTTTGAAAAGTTCACAAGATAACCCCTATATCCTGGCCAGCATCCACTAACTAAAGCAAAGTCTGATTACAAATTAGACAAATGCTGCTTTCATGATTTTATTATCTCAATATAACTCTGTACCACCTGGCTATGTCATATACTATTCTTTATATTCTGCGGCAGGCTGAAATGAGGAAGCAGTCTGTTTGGCTGACAGTAGCTCCCAGTTGCACAGTGCATGTTGTTAACAACTTCACAGTTCCTACCTTGGCCACATTGATAATGTATTTATTTTTCCTTCAAATTTTTAAAATAAAATTATACTGTTATTAAATATTTTATAGAACCCAAGGATGTGCAAGCTACAATGATGTTATTCTAGGATGCTGAGGTATGTGCAATACCTCAGGCTTTATTTACGCTTCAAACCTTTACACAGGGAAACCTGATATTCTAACATAGATAAGGCATGTCTCACAGTTTAGTGAGGAGTGGTTGCACTGCAGTATGATTCGCTTGGGAATCCATTCCTTTGAAAACTGACCTCAAACCGTGAAGGATTTCAGTTCCAGGACCACTATTGGTACTGGCTATGCAATCTTATCCCTTCCATGTTCTCTTACCATCCTGTAGCAGTTTGCTAATGTTCACTTCTTTTCCCTGAATGGGAAGTGGGATGACTTTCTATTGAGAACAGGCCCCCTAGCAATGCCCTGAATAGAGGTGTAATGATACATACAGCCCAGGTTAATTAGAGCACAGCTTCTTTCCTCCCTCTGCTTGGACTGTGGGTTGAAGGAAGACCAAAAGAGATGGTTCAGGATTCATTGAGCACAAGTAGATGGCTCTTATTGGTTCTCCTTAGAAGGAAGAGGGTTGACAGGAGAGACTCTGGAGAGATGCATACCTGTCTGGGTTACTCCAAAGCATGGGTGATGGGTTCTACTTTGTATGTTTATTCTGCATTATTCTGAGTTGGAAAAAAAACTGGGGATTGTATCTGGGAATGACTCTCAGACCTCTGTGGCCTTTTTTGTTTGTGTTTAGAGAGCGGAGTCTGCTGTAAGTTACAGCCCGACTTGAAAAGACTGGTGTACCTCTCAAAGTATGAGTTAGCCCAAGCCAATGGCCCCTACCTCTGTTATTTCCATTGGGGTCAATGAGTCAGCCGTCACATGTAGGACAGATTTGTATATTGTTTTATTGCACTCCACATTTTTTGTATATTAGAGCACTTCCGACTGCCTTATTGTATCTTTGGAAGAACACCAAACACCAAAAGATGGTTTTAAATGAACCATTTCTGAGAAATGAGAACAAAGGCTTTTTGACTGAGCATCAATTAAATAGTAAAGCAGAAAATAATTAACATTAGTACTTCTAATAGAAACCTTGAGTTACTTATGGCTTTTTTTAAAAAATATGCTTTTCCAAATAAAGTACTTCTATAGATTTGTTTCTCATAACTGTTAAACTTTCATAAATAATTTCAAGGCTGCCCATATTCCTTTATCTTACAAATAATTGAACTAAAGGCTAAAAACATTAAATTCTGTAATATATTCTGTTCTTTTATCATAATGCTAACTATCTGAAGGAAAATGACCAGATATTCCTCACAAAATGAAAGCTACAAGACACTGAAATTCCTGTTTCCCATTAAAATTAATGGCAAAATGTTTCTCCTTAGACTGAGATCAAGCCATTTCCACAACAATCTGTGTAACTTCTTCCATACAATGATCTGTGAGAACTTGATTTTGTTTGCCTTCAGGCTACTGTATAAGGCTATACTTCTCAACCAAGCTTTTGCCTAATCGAATGGCCATTTCCTTCATTCTTTAAGTGCGCCCAAACTGTCATAGGCATCACAGCGATGCAGGATCAAGCTCTTAAGGCATTTCTTTTTCTTTCCTTGTTTAGACTTTTCTAGTTTAAAAATTGATGTTTGATTTTATATGTGATGAAATGAGAGATGTGAGCACTATGAATTATTAAATTAACTAAATTGCATGATTAATTTCAGAACATGTTAATCAGTGTAATAGGGTGCTTGGTGGGGTCAGGTGCCCTAGTAGTTACCATTCTTAGCGCCATCCTCTCTGTGGGTAGGATTTGCAGTCCTTCTCTTAATCAGAGGTGCACTCAGGTGGCAGGAAGTCTATGTCCCTCCTGTAATAGGGGTCGTTGGCAGGGGAGCCTCGACCCACACACTCAACCAGGCTCTGACCCATGACCCTAGGAGGGTCAACCATGTCTGGCCCCTGAAGGTGCCTTCTGAGTTACCCTCCCTGGGTCACTTCCTACCGTCTGCCTTTCTCCTCCAGTCTGATATGAGGCAAAAAGAAAAGGCAACCAAAACCGTCAACCCAACCAGGCTCAACACATAGTCTTCCTCCCTCTGGAAGGCTTCTCTGGCATCCTTGTCAAGAACCTTCATGGAGAGTCTGTCCTCCTCCCCAGCCTCCCTCCTTCTGCGCTGGGTTGCTCTCTTTTCAACTCTTTCTTCAGTTGGAACATGCTCTGCAGGTCTGGAGAGGTGGGGCTAGCTGGGCCCAGTACAGCCCTTTAACCCCTTCAAGCCCAGTATGGGGTCATACACCCCATCACAATCAGCCATTCAGTTTCTCAGCAGTGAATAAGGTTTAAAATAATTACATTTAATGCTGAATGCTAAAAGATGAATGTTTAACACAAGTACAGAAACTGTGGCATTTTATATTCTTTGCCTGCAGAGTTAATTTGTATTAATGAATATCAACCTTTTTATTTTAAAATTATAGGCCAAATCATGCTCACCTTACTCATAAGTAGACCCTCTGGAGTCAGTAAGAGAAGCAGTATTTGACTTGATGTGGGTAAATCTAGAGTTTTTCTTTGTGAAAATCAAATAAAAGAAAGAAAGAAAAAATAAAAGAAAAAATTTAGATAACTTTGACTTTATTTGGAGCACATAACACATTTTTTAAAGAATACAAGCAACCACTTACAAATACCTTTACTTTTAACTTCCAGGATGGTTTGCTAACCAGAGCCTTGTTTATTTTGTTTTACAGATTTTGGCCATTGTATCCATTCTGTTCATCGTACTGTCAACCATTGCTTTGTCTCTCAATACACTACCTGAGCTTCAAGAAATAGATGAATTTGGACAACCAAATGACAACCCCCAGTTAGCACATGTTGAAGCTGTGTGTATTGCTTGGTTTACTATGGAGTACCTTCTGCGTTTCCTGTCCTCACCAAATAAGTGGAAGTTCTTCAAAGGTCCATTAAATGTGATTGATTTACTGGCCATTTTGCCATATTATGTCACCATTTTCCTCACAGAGTCCAACAAAAGTGTGCTGCAGTTCCAAAACGTCAGACGTGTGGTTCAGATATTTCGTATTATGAGGATACTAAGGATCCTTAAACTTGCCAGGCATTCAACAGGCCTTCAGTCTTTAGGTTTCACTCTCAGGCGGAGTTACAATGAATTGGGTTTGTTGATATTATTTTTAGCAATGGGAATAATGATCTTTTCCAGCCTTGTGTTTTTTGCTGAAAAGGATGAAGATGCTACAAAGTTTACCAGTATCCCAGCATCGTTTTGGTGGGCTACCATCACTATGACCACTGTAGGATATGGTGACATTTATCCTAAGACTCTACTCGGAAAAATAGTTGGAGGACTGTGTTGCATTGCTGGAGTGCTGGTAATAGCCCTGCCCATACCAATCATTGTGAATAACTTCTCTGAGTTTTACAAAGAGCAAAAACGGCAGGAAAAGGCCATTAAAAGAAGAGAGGCCCTTGAGCGAGCTAAAAGAAATGGAAGCATTATCTCCATGAACCTGAAAGATGCTTTTGCGCGCAGTATGGAACTCATTGACGTAGCAGTGGACACAGGAAAGCCTGGCGATCCAGCCAATTCAAAGGATACACCTGATGATAACCACCTATCTCCAAGCAGGTGGAAGTGGGCCAGAAGGACAATGTCTGAAACAAGTTCAAATAAGTCTTACGAGAACAAATATCAGGAAGTTAGTCAGCAGGGCTCCCATGAGCAATTGAATAATGCTGCTGATGCTGCTTCCAGCCCACAACACCTGAGTGCTCAAAAATTAGAGATGTTATATAATGAAATTACTAAAACTCAGTCTCAGCCTAATCTTAATGCTGGCTACCAAGATCAGCCAGTAAAACCACCTGAGTATGAGGAAGAAATAGAAATGGAAGAGGCTACTGGGCAAAGAGATGAGTTGCCAGCTGGACATACAGATGTAATAACAGACATGAGAAGCACATCTAGTATTGATAGCTTCACCAGTTGTGCAACTGACTTCACAGAAACAGAAAGGTCACCCCTTCCTCCTTACCTTGGCTCTCACCTGCAAATGAGATTCCCGAGTGACTCTGTTAATCTAGAGGACAACCAAACAAAGAGTTCTCAATTTGTATCACTCACAAGAGAGAAGATGCTTGCCCCTAGAGATGTCACTTTTGACTATAAGCCAATTGACACTGCTGCAAACAATGATGGTTGTGGCTCCCAAACTGTCCTGCATGGTCATTTGCATTTTGACAGTGCCATGGAAAGCCCCAAAAGTTCTCTAAAAGGTAACAATCCATTAAAACCTAGATCCCTTAAAGTTAACTTTAAGGAAAACAGAGGCAGTGCTCCACAAACTCCACCAAGCACTGTGAGGCCATTGCCAGTAACAGCAGGAGCAGACTTTACACAGTCTACTTCTCAGCATATTAGCACCATTCTTTTAGAAGAGAATTCACCCCAAGGTGAAAGACCCATCATGCTGGGTGCTGATGCCTCGATGCTTTGCCAGGGACCTCCTAAAAGATCATCCCCTCTGTTTCCCAAACAAAAGCTTTTCACTTTCCCTTCAAAGGAGAGGAGAAGCTTCACTGAAATAGACACTGAAGAAGAAGAAGACTTCATGGAGATCTCTGGTGTGAAACATGAAAAGAAGCAGGATATCAAAACAAATTGCTTTGGGGACAAACACAATGATGGCACCCATTTAACAGACGAGCCAAGAGTCAGCTCTTCTTCACCCAAAAGCATGGGTCACAACTGTACTCAAGACATTTACCATGCTGGGAGTGAAGTAAAGAAGGACAGTAACCAAGAAAGTTACAAAATGGAAAACCATTTATTTGCCCCAGAAATTCATTCAAATCCAGGAGAAACTGGTTATTGTCCCACACGTGAAACCAGCATGTGACTAGTCACAAAAGCAATAAAAAAAACTCTTCTTAAAACCACAGTTAGTAATGCCTGTGAACTAAAACATGGAAGCCTCAAAACAAAAAACAAAAAAAAGTGCATAAAATTGTTATTTTTGCATGGCATGAAGAGTTGTTTAGTTTACGTACTGTTTAAGTAAAGAGTTCCAAGACTGCTTTTTGTAACAAACAAACAAAAAGGGAGAAAAAAATGACTCAAGAACAGTGAGTAAAATAAAGAGAGCTCTGTTAGGAGCCAGTGTTCTGCAAAGTCTGACATTTTTGATCCTTTCACTTTATGATTGTAGACAGATTTTAAACTCTGTGAACTTTTTTTTCTCTTGGTTACAATGAGTTTTAGAATTTGCACATGAAAGGATTAAAAGTCAATGCATGCATTCATAATGATGTGAAACAAGGTGCTTTGAGCTTGCAAAATGAATATATTTGTAAATAGTTTGGGGTCGGGGGGAGAGCTACTGTTATCAAGGCTCTGTGGACATCAAGTTTCCTGGGACACAGGTACTTCCTTCACAGCACATTGCCTGGAGGATTTGTACAGACTTATGTTGCAAAATTGCAACTTCTGCTTAAAGCATCTCACATATCTTGCTTTCTGTTAAAAAGCTCATGAGTATATCTGTTTATTTAAGGGACTACAGTATTTTTAGTTTATCTGTGCTGTAAATCATAGTATTTTTTATTTGCATAAACTTTGTTGTTGCATTTGTAATTTAAATTAAGGATTCTTGAGAAAAGTAAAGATTTAATGACCAGAATTGAAGCATTTGATATTTTATATAAGCACTGCCAAAATTTCATAATTTATAGCAATGCCCCATCATAAAATAAGAATACAAACCATACAATTATTGCTGTGGCAATAAATAGGGCCAAATGGCCATCAAGAATGAAACAGTTTATATCGAAAGAGTTCTCACTCTCAATACAATCATTTTCAATTCTTATTTTTGCTGAAGAATTTTTTTCTTTCTTTTGTTTTATTTGATGATCTCCTGGGGGCCCTTTTTTAGCATTTTCCCCCTTTAACCTACAGTTCTCTTTTCTCTTTAACTATGGTGTCCATGGTCCAGCTGGAGGGCAGAGGAGCAGTTATCTTGAAGGCTGTTTTCATTGCCACTCCATGGATCAACAGAAAAAAAGCATTTAATTAAAGGAAAATGTCAGCCACCCCATTCCCCCCGATGCCAAAGCATCTTTATTTTTAGGGTGTACTTGAGCTCTGTCTCAGCCTTGGGAAAGATGCTGAACCCAAACCTAGCTTACAATGCACCAATGAAGCTCTGCATGAATGAAGCTATTCATTTTTTCTCCAATAGATTTTTTCACTTCATAAATCCCCATATGTCTGATGAATAAGCAGATTCACAATAATGTAAACTAGCCAATATTTTTCCTTGTGAAAAACAAATAATTTCATTTTGATATTTTCCTCTGATTACTTCAAAAATATAGAGCCTGATGCTCTTCTTACTGACAGTGGTCTTACAATGATGTGGACCAGCTCCTTGCCTGAGATGAAGGATTTTCCAGTGGTTAGGGAGGTAGCCTTGTATTTGAGAGACCCAGACTCAGTCCCTTGTTCTACAAACTTCCTGTGTGACTTTAGGCAAGTCACTTAGCCCCTCTGTGCCTCAGTTCCCCATCTGTAAAATAGGAAGAACAATTCTCACAGAGGTCTTGTAAGGAAAAATATATTAAAGCTAATGAGGCTCTGACATACTGTGGTAATGAGAGCCATAAAAGTACTTGAGATAGAGAGCTGGTGTAAATCAGCATAGCTCTCTTGATCTCAGTGGAGCTTGGCCAATTTACAGAAGCTGAGGATCAAGCCATGTGATTCCATTCACTTAAGCAAAGCTGCCCCTCTCTTAAGTGAGTGGGACAGTCCGGTCCATGATGTACTTCTCTTAGAAGAGAGGACATTTTTGTTACAAAGCTGCCTTCCCCAAAAGATTACAGAGCTGATCATGCAGAGCTTACTCAGGTCTCACCCATGTAAGGGCTGCAAGATAGAACTCCAAATACCTGTTCAATTGGCTGGACCAAATAATAAGCACAGCATAGTTCCTTGGTTTAAAATAGGAAAATCTTTAATTGTTGGTCTTTTAAGGACTTTTTTTACCAAAATGAGTCCAAGTGTTTCTTGTGTGATTTGAAACCTTGGTGTACGATATCATTTCTCCCAATCAGTGTCTGGTCATTAATTCTCAAAATAAAAATGCCCTTTCTGTCCTTAGTTGCAGTCCAGGTAACCCTATTGCTACATATAATTTTACCTATTTCTATGGCACTCTGCTGAACACTTTTCAACCATTTGTTTCACTGTTCCAAAACTTATCTCTTGAATGTTTGCTAGTCGTTAATCTTCTATATTTATTTTTATTGTTTACTGGTAGATATTTTCAATGACTCAGACTAAATGCCAGTCCATTTTATATGCCTAAAGTGTTGGTCAGTACGTATTTTCTATTTATAGTTTTGTGAAATCACACAATCCTATTTGATCTGCCTTTAGGGTCTAGCCAACAAAATGGAAACCAAGTTTAGTCCAAATGGAGCCCAGTCCTTTAGTCTTAACCTAGGGAAAACTCCCATTCAAGTTAATGACTCTGTTCAGGCAAACCCCCAGGCCTAGGGTTCTGATGCCGCAATGTGCTCCACACAGGTGGACCTCTGAACATGGTCAGAGCCCCTTTGAAGTCAGTGGCTTTCTGTACAGGAGCAGGAGTCTGACCATGTGGAGCTCATTGGAGCTTTAATCCTTAAGTCTCCCCTGAGTTAAATCAGTCCTTTATCAAGGCCCGATTCTGCTCCTAGTAAAGTCATTGAGAACTCAGTGGGTGTAGAATCAAGCCCTCATGTCTTGTGCAGGCAAATTCCCATTGAAACCAATGGGAGTTTGGCAAAATTAGGACTGAATAAAACCAAAGTAAGGACTTTGAGATTTGGCCCCTAGTAAAGTCAATGAAAGCTTTGACTGAGTAAAGATCACAAAACCAGGCCCTTATTGTCCATCGTATTTGAAACATTTTCAGAGAAGCACAGAAGCTTGGAATTGAACAGGCAAAGCCAATGCAGTTCTCATTAATAACAGTCACAGTAATTTTAGAAATCTTGAGGGCAGAAGGATCAGGCTTTAGAAATGTTTTTTATGATAGTCTAGTTCACGTAGCACAGTGTTGATCATGCTGAATTATATTTCCAGGAACACAGGCTTGCACAGTGGGCATTTCCAGCCTAGCCTAGAAACAAGGGGCCCAGTCCTGAACACCTAACTCATGCAAAACTCCAAATTAAAATATTGACCTGAGTAAAGGCTGCAGGACTGGGCCTGTCTCTTCCTCCAACAGAGGAAGCATGGTCCTGGGTGATTTGATTCAGTAAAATTAATCCGTTTAAAATTATGCAAAACTACTTGACCTACATTTTTTTCTGCTTTTCCTGAGACTTCTGAGCCATTTCAGACCCAATTCTGCTCCCATTTGCCATATATTACAATAGAAGGAGACCTTTCAGAGTTTTGGGGCCAGATTCTACACTAGTATAAACAGAGCGACTCTGGTAACTCCAGATTTACATGCACACCCATGCAACTGAAACTGGAGTCTGGTTCTTGGCATCCCTGGAACATGAAGGTCATTCATGAAGATGATTTTGAAACATAGGCAAAGAGTATTTTTTAAATTTTTACATTGATTTCAGAATCCTGAATCAAAATTGTGATTAATTTTCCATGTTTTAGCCAAACTTACATGTTTAAAAGAGATTTACATATCAATCAGAACATTTTCTGATTGTCTAAATGACACTATTCCAGATGAGGGGTAGAAAGTAATATATTGCACAAAGTGCAAAGTAAATACATATAGTAAACTATGGTTATGTGGGAAACATATGGTCTTAAGAATATAATATGGAGGACAAAGTTATTGCACTACACAATTTGTGTAAACCAACACCACCTTTTTTAATAAACACAAAAAGCCTTTTAAACTTCATTTTATAGAACATGTGAACCCTTATGCTGATGCAGCAATATAATGCACTGCGTTCTCATTTCACAATTGGGTGTAGAACTCAAACATTGCTACGGTTAAAGAGGTGGTTTGCCATCTGATACAACACCAAAGCAACTGAGTTGAACAGCTATTTATTTCCACTGCCATACTACATAAGCAAAAATATGTATCTAAAACCTTGTATTCTTGTTTCTAACCTTTAAATCAAAGCAGTAATTGGCTTCTTAGTTCCTATTAACAATAGATATCATCTGGTTTCTTCTAGATTAAAAACATTGGCATGTTTTAATGGCTGTTTTTTATATATATGGATCAGAAGCTTGTTTAAGGTTCTTTATGTCTATTTGGAATGATGTTTATCCTGAAACTAAATCCCAAATATATAAGTGAAAATAGAAATAGAAATTAGTTATGTTTACAAGCAAAATGAATTAGAAATGAGAGAATCCTGAATACAATGTTTAGACTCTTTAAGAATGTCATGTAATATTGAATTTAAAACAATTTGAACTTTGAAGTTCTTGTGCTTGCAAAGTAGTTCATTAACTGCTTATGCTACTGCCTTTTAAAAATGGCTTTGCCACAAGGGCTCAATTCTGTTGTCATTATCAGGCCAAACTGCAAGCAAATTCAATGGGGAAAGTTGCAGGTTAGCCTGATAAAGGCTCTCACCCTAACTGATTACACGTTTTATTTTCATTAATGCACAATTTTGGCTTTGATGGCAATGAAAAGATTTGATCATGTAAAACATTTTAAATGAAACAATGGCAGAAAGAGGCTGTCTCACAGTAGCCAGCCCAGGTCCACCAGAAAGTGCAAATACAATAAAGGGGAAGAAAGGCAGAGAAACTAAGTAAACAAGGCATGTTGTCAATTAAAAAAAATATCGGTTGTTCTTATACATATATAATGAGGAAAATATGGGTATGAAATATAACATTAAGGCTCTAATT